TGGATGTCTTGGTTAGGAAATGAGACATATAACAATGGGGGGGAATTTGAGGTTGGTCAGCAGTTTGACTCATTGCAACAACTAAAAGATGCTGTGAAATCTTACTCCATAGCTAGAAATCAAACAATTCGAGTTGTGGAGGCAGAGCCAGAGAAATATGTTGTTGAGTGCAAGAGGAAAGAACAATGTAGTTGTTCGTGGAGGCTTAGAGGAGTGAAAGATCCAACACTCTCTACGTTTAAAATTGTGAGGTACAACGGCCCTCATGCAAGTAACTGTGTTGGTGACATCGACTCGGGAGATCATAAGCTACTGACTTCCGAGTTCGTTTGCAATGCTCTTCTAGATGTCATTCGCGTTGATCCTTCATTGAAAATCAAGACAATGGTGCAACTTGTGAAAGAGAAATTTGATGGATTCCAAATAACCTACAAGAGAGCATGGCTAGCGAAACAAAAGGCAATAAAACTCATTTATGGGGGTTGGGAGGGTTCATATGAACAGTTGCCTAAGTACATGCAAGCTCTCAAGGAATCAAATCCTGGAACTGTTGTTGAGTGGAGGTTGTTAGAGTGTACGGTTCCTGGAACACATGTTTTTCAACGAGTCTTTTGGGCATTCAAGCCATGTATTGATGGATTCCGTCACTGCAGACCCCTTATCACCATTGATGGCACTCATTTATATGGCAAATACAAAGGCACTCTACTCATTGCTATGGGAACGGATGCCAATTTTCAACTATTCCCCCTTGCTTTTGCGGTTGTCGAAGGAGAGAACAATGATAGTTGGTCTTGGTTCATGGCTTGTATTCGTGCTCGAGTTACAGATAGGAAAGGGCTATGTGTGATATCTGACAGACATGCTGGTATTTTAGCAGCAATGGAAGAAGTTGGAAGTGGTTGGGAGGAGCCCAATGCCTACCACAAGTACTGTACACGACACTTGGCTTCTAATGTGAACTCAAAATTTAAAAGTGTCGTCATAAAGAACCTCTTTGGCAAAGCAGCTACTGCAAGGCAGAAGAAGAAGTTTGATTACTACATCAACAAAATTGGTGACTTGAATGTAGAGGCCCGTAGGTACTTGATGGAAATTCCGTACAGTAAGTGGTCCATTCATCATGATGGTGGTTTCAGGTTTGGTGTGAAGACTACAAACATGTCGGAAGTCATTACCAGCCAGCTACCTCGGACCTCCTGCTTGTATGAACTTCACTTCATTTCAATCTAGTTCTTACGTTTTTGATTTCATTTTACTAACATTAAAACTACACTTAAATGTAGGCACATGCATTTGCTGATTTGCACGTCCAGCTATCGGGAGCTACTGAGACCATCTCCCACTTGCCACCAGAGACGGCTATACCATTTGCCATACAGACGATGCAGGGTTTTACATCATTTTGTGGCCAAACCTTGTCTAGGGTGGGGCAGTCACACCTTATTCAGCAGCCTCGACCGTCCACGTCTTCATCTTCTACTGTGCACACTATGCCGATCAGACCACCACCTCATCGTGGAGGCCATTCAGCACGTGCCTTCCGTCCACCGACTCCTTCTCAGCATACTATCATGACATCTCCTCCACTAGTGCATCGCCAGTATCAGAGAAACCGACGGCGTAGCAACACTACGTCTGGGGTTGGAGTTGGCCTGGATGACATTCCAGAGGAGACAGCTGCATCATCTTCATCGTCACCTCATGGGAAGAAGCAACGCCCGAGCTAAGTGTATATTTTGGAACTAAACTAATTTTTTTGTAAATGCTTAGAATTGGATTTTGTTATATTTAATCAATTGAAAAATATTCGACTTTGCAATTTCGACTTCCTTAGATCTTCATAAACTTGTTATTTATGGTGGTTGTGTTGAAAATATGCTATATATCTCATGTTTTACAGGTACACAACTTGCAGGTTTTTTTTTGAGTGATTATGCAAGTTTGAAAAAAAAACCAGTCCAGGGTAAACCGCTACTTCAAGTAGCGGTTTTTAAAGTAAACCGCTACTTGAAGTAGCGGTTTTCCAAAATAAACCGCTACATTAAATAGCGGTTTTTTGTAAACAAACCGCTACTTCAAGTAGCGGTTTTAAACTAAAAAACCGCTACTTGAAGTGGCGGTTTATTGCAAAGAAACCGCTACTTGAAGTAGCGGTTTACCCTGGACCGGAAAAAAAAAAAAAACCGGTTTTTTAACCAGTGCTTACGTGGACGGTACTTTGGGAATTCTTAAAACTTTGGCTGCAATTTGGGAATTGCGGTTCTTCTTGACCTTAATTTGGGAAAGAGTTCCTTTTATAACTTTAGATTCTTAACTCGGAATAAGACCAATTACTTGAAATCTTTGAATGTACAATTTCCACCCCAATTCGGAATTAGTTCAATAAATTTGTAGATCTTGAGATTGTCTATTTAGTGCAAGGGTTTCTGATTTTTGGCCAAGTTAAGTGCATATTTTAATCATATTTTCTTAGTTAAGTTGGAATCGTCTTATAATTTATCGTTAATAAGGTCTTTGAATGGGCTATCCACCCGTATAGGCTTGAATGGAATTTATGAGGTTTGGCTACCTCTTTTGCATAATTTTCAACAATGTAAGGTCCAATTGTCTAAAGAATTGTATTCAATACAATTAAGTCCATTATAATCAAAATTAAAAATATGTGAGCATACTTTAGGCATAATAAATAAGCGGATCGTGCTTTAAAATAATTTAGGCTCAAAAATCGGTTTTAGATTACTTCATATTGAATTCCAAATTCATTAACACTTCAACTTTGATCTAGCCTGAATAACGGGTTTTTGTAACATCTTCGCACTTCCTGTCAGGATATTGGAGGCCAAATCTAGGTGTCTAACCCAGGATTATTATTCTTAGGGAATAATTTATGGTTCCCTTGTGTTATATAAGGAATCATTGAGTGATCATATGGGTTAAGCCACATTGGAAAGACTCCTAGTAATCATGTTATTTATCCATCAAAGTTTAGAAAAACTCTAACTCCTAATATGTCACCTTGGTCTTATTGCCTGAACTACATAAATCGTTGCGTAATTTGTTTATGTTACTTATTGCTTGCTCATATTTCTATTAATTACTGTTCATCACAAATTAAGTTCAATGCTACCTGTTTCATAACAATAGGTGTAAAAGAAAATTTCAAGTCCTTAGGCTTTAAGGATTTTATGGACAATGCAAGTTTGATTAATCATGTAAAAGAAATTTGATATTGATAAATTTGATTGGCAATTACGTGAATTTGGTGTATGGTAACTGTAGTTGAAGGTCACCTTGGTTCAAGGTGATTGTCACAAGATTGTTGGTGATGTATTCAAAGGCATGTTGGCATGCGTGAAGAAGGACAATGGGAGGAGATTGACTTAAAGTCTTATTGGAGATTCAACATTACTCTCTATCTAATGAACTTTTGAGAGAAGTTGTCAAAGAAACACCTAGCTACGACTTTGTAGTTGAAATTGTAGTTACTTTATATAACTTATAGTGTGATTGAACGTCAAAGCACGCTTCATGCTTGAGTCTCATTATATGAGTTATGTTCTATTATTATAATTGATTTATCTTCATTTAGAATTAGGTTGTACACTTTCTTATAAGCATTTTCTAAACAACTGTTAAATGGCATAGGTTGATTAATAAATTGTTTAATGAAGTTAAAAAAAAAAAATCAATTAAGGCCTTTTAAAAAATTGTTTAGAAAATGCTTATTGCCAGTAAAAAAAAAATCAATTAATCTCTCGGTAAAAAAAAAAAATAATCTCTCAGTAAAAAAAAAAAAAAAAAAAGAAAAAAAAGAAAAAATTGTTTATAATGTCGTGTGAAATGTCATATGGTGGGCATTGATGAGTGACCTACCTTAAGTAATATGAATATGCTACCAAAGGGGAGTCCTACTTGGTCCTCTCAACTAGGGATAGGCTCTCTCAATCCTCTAAATCCTACACTAGTTCATAGAATGTCATGTTTCTTTTGTATATCTACAATTAGTATTCGGGTTGAGAGGGAATGAAACAACCCAGGTCACCAATTAAGGTGAAACCGAATCAAATAATTTTATATGAAAAATAGTTGCATCTAAACATATAGATGTTGACTTAAGCCCTATCCTTTTTGACTTCTTAGTAAAAGCTTTTAGTTCACTTTAGCTCAAACAGGTCATTCCACTTTAGGTCATTTGAGTTCCGTTCAGTTAATTCCAGTTTAGTTTAGTTTCAATACTCTAAAAATACTATATTTATTTTTTGTTATTAAAACATCAATTTGAATACTCAATTATTATAATAAGATCCCTAGGCAAAACACATTAAAATCCCAACCTAGGGATAACAATTATGGGATTTTTAATCACATATTAAATCAGAATACTATAGGGCTAAATAAATCAATCAAAACCTTTATAATCATGTTTAAACGTATATCATAAATAACATAAATTTAGAAATTTTAATTCAAATTAATAAAAGAAGAGGGAAAGATATTTTTTTTTCTTTGTTACCAAACCACACGGAAAGGAGGGGGAAAGAGTCCTCATGGCCGAACCTGCCCAACGTTGCTGGTGCCAATGTTACTGCCACCGTTCAGGGTGGTGGTGGTACTTTGGTATCCGATGTGTGTGAGGTGGGTGCCGAAATCCCTCAATTTTCCAATTGGATAAATAAAAGAAATTAAAGGGAGTATCATAAATGAATCTTTTTTTAAAGTACAATTTGAAAAGTATTTAATGATGGAAAAATATCAAAATTGTAAGATATATATTATTACCTCCATTTCATATTATTTACAAGTTTGGAATATTTCATATTATTTGAATCTTTGGGATATTTTATATCTCACAAATAATTAGGAAACAGACGCAGCAACATGCTAAGCAACATGTTCAGAATGAATCAGTGAAGAACAACCAAACTCAGAGAGTGTGGAGGCCTGTGTAGAGAGTGCAGGTGCCTAAGCAGGCTGTGCCAAGGGTTAATGTTCCTGTGATGAATAGTTTTTTTGATCTCTTGGGTACTGATGAGGAGGATGCAGATCAGCTTGCTCAGCATAATGTTCACTGGAGTTCTGGTAATCTAGATATGATCGTGGAAGGTCAAGTTCTATTTAGGGTTTAGGAGGGGGTATGCTCTCTTATAACCTTCATGGATAGTCGGGGGTTTTGGAATGTTAGGGGATTAAATAGCTTAAGTAGAATCTGTGATGTTCTTTGGTTCCTTAGATCTCACAATGTTAAGTTGTTTGGTCTCCAAGAAACTATAGTGAAGACTAAGAATTTTTGTAAAGTCTTCACTAATTTTGGTCAAGAGTGGGCTGTGATGGCTAACTATTCAAAACATGATGCTGGTAGGATTTGGTTAGTGTGGATGCCTAGTGTGTATGATGTTCATGTGGTTAGGGTGGAAGTTCAGTTTATCCATGTATGGTTACTCATAAAGCTACAAGTTCTTTGTTTTAGTGTACTATGATTTATGGTCTTAATGATCCTAATGGTAGAGAGATTATGTGGAAGAATATCTTTGAAATAGCTTAATCTATTTCAGAACCTTGGGTGTTAGGTGGTGATTTTAATAATATCTTAAACCTTGAAGATAGAATAGGGTCTCCTTGTACCTTGACTGAAGTTGAAAAGTTTAGGCTGTGTTTAAGATCCAATAATCTTGTGGATTGGAAACCAGGGGGTATGTTCTTCACATGGAATAATAAATAGGAAGGAATTCATAGGGTCTGTTCCAAAATTGACAGGCTGATTGTTAATGATAGATGGCTTGATACCTATCCTGGTGCTTCTGCCTCTTTCGTGCCTGAAGGTTTAATGGATCATTCTCCATGTTGTGTGCATATGCAGTCATCAATTGGTAACATTAAGAAACCATTTAGGTTGTTTAATATTTGGACTGAAGCTCCTAATTTTAGGAGTTTAGTTCAGGAGGCTTGGGAAACTGAAACACATAGTACAACCATGTTCTGTGTTGTTCAAAAACACAAGGAAGTGAAGAAAGTTATGAGAGCTATTAACACTAGATATTTCTCTGACATAGAGAGCTGATGCCATAGCCGATGAGAAGTTGATTGAAGCTCAGATGAGATTGGTTAAAGACCCCTTAAATTTGACTTTGGTAGAGCTGGAATTTAAAGCTACACAGGATTATAATGTTGCTCATGCTACCAAACTTTGCTTCCTGAAACACAAAGCCAAAGCTCACTGGCTTAAGGAAGGTGACATGAATTCTGCTTTCTTTCATGATGCTATCAGGCAAAGAAGGGTCCAAAATAGAATCTGTAGTATTCAGTCTGCTTCTGGTGGTATTCACAGTCCGGATGATATAACTGAGGTGTTTGTGGAGTATTATAAGGGCTTACTAGGGACTGGTTCGACTGATTGTGTTCCTGTGCATCCTGAGGTTATTGCAGCTGGCCCTTTTTTAACTAAGATTCAGAAGGAGCTCCTGTGCAGGACTTTTTCTGAACATGATGTTCAGGCTGCTATTTGGAGTATTGAAGATAACAAGGCACCTGGGCCAGATGGTTTTACTAGTAAATTCTTCAAGGCTGCTTGGAGTATTGTAATGGTGGATGTCTGTAAAGCTGTATTGGATTTCTTTGAACATGGAAGGCTGTTGAAGCAAATAAATTCCACCACCCTTACTTTGATTCCTAAGGTTACTAATGCAACTCAGGTTACTCAATTTCGACCTATTGCTTGCTGTAATATTCTGTATAAGGTCATTTCTAAGTTGGTGGCTGCAAGAATGAAGGAAGTACTTCCTGGTATTATTAGTGTTAACCAAAGCGCTTTCATTTCTGGTAGATCTATTATTGATAATATCATGCTATGCTAGGATATGTTAAAATAATATAATAATGCTAGGAAAGCTCCTAGATGTACAGTTAAAGTAGATATAAAGAAGGCTTATGATTCCATTAATTGGAATTTTATTAGAAGCATGCTAATCAGTCTTGGGTTCCCTAATCAGTTCATTTCTTGGATGATGGAATGTATCACAACTCCAACTTAATCTATTATGCTCAATGGTGGGATTTCTGGTTTTTTAACGGTGCTTAGGGGATCAGACAAGGGGACCCTATGTCCCCCTTAATTTTTGTCCTTTGTATGGAGTATTTGAGTAGGCCTATGAAGAAGGTGGGACAGAAGAAAGGGTTTTCTTATCACCAGAGATGTAAATATATGAGAGTTAATCACCTCATTTTTGCTGATGATTTGATGTTGTTTGCTAGAGGAGATAAAAAGTCTGTTGATCTTCTGTCAAGAACTCTTAATATGTTCTCTAAATTCTCGGGTTTACAGGCAAATGTGGAGAAAACCTCAATCTATTTTGGGATTGTGAATGCTGTTGAGAAGGAGAATATACTAAGTATGACTGGTTTCAAGGAAGGCTGTTTTCCTTTTAGATATCTTGGCATTCCCCTCAATGCCAAATATCTTAAGGTTTCTGATTTTGATGTGCTAATTGATAAGATGCTAGCTAGAATTCAATGTTAGTCTTCTAGACATTTGTCTTATGCTGTCAGGGCTATTCTTATAAACTCTCTTCTCCTGAGTTTTCATAATTTCTGGGCTCAGTGTATTTTGCTACCAAAGTCTGTGATTGATAGAATCAACCAGTTGTGTAGAGCTTTTCTTTGGGACGGTATTGCTATGTTGTCTAAGGCTCCTCCTATATCCTGGGATTGGGTTGCTAAGCCTAAGAATAGTGGCGGTCTAGGCATCAGAAGTTGTTCTCTTTGGAATAAGGCAGCCCTGGGCAAGTATGTATGGAAGGTTGCTAGAAAAGAAGAATCTCTTTGGGTCAAATGGGTTCATTCTGTTTACATTAAAAATAAAAATTGGTGGAGCTATAAACCCAGTAAGGGGGCTGGTTGGGCTTAGAAAAGGATCTGCAGGGTGAGAGATGAAATGGCAGAAGGTTTTGAAGAGTGTAAATGGCTTGAAACTAGCTATACTGTTTCTGAGGGGTACAGATGGCTGCAAGGGCTTAATCCCAGGGTTAATTGGACTACCTGGATCTGGAATTAGCTTAATATTCCTAGACAAGCTTTTATTGCTTGGATTGCTAGTCATGGTAAGCTTAAAACCAAAGATAGACTGCTCAAATTTGCAGCCTGTGTGGACAGTAGCTTTTACTGTGTGGCAATGCTGATGAAACTCATAACCACCTGTTCTTTGAGTGCAATTAAAGTATGGCTTGCTTAAAGATTCTCTGCCAATGGTTGAATATTGTAGTGAAGGATTACACTTTGGCTTCATCTTGGGAGATGTGGAGAAGGAACATCAGTGGATAGATCAGGAAGAGTTTTGTTCTTGGTACTTTCACTGCTCTAGTTTATCACATTTGGCAGGCTAAGAACAAGGCTCTCTGACAACAGGCTGTTATTCACCCTCGAAAACATTTTAAAATACTGTGTAATGAGGTTGTAATTAGGTGTCAGCAGCTAATCACTCCTTCATGGAATAGTGCAAAATGTAAATGGCTTATGTCTGTAAAACCAAGCATCCCTACTGACTAGGATGGTTGGTATTTGGTGTCTTGTTTTTGTTTTGGTGTTTCTAGCTGTTTTGCTAGATGTTTTTTCTGTTTTTTGGAGCTGGTTTGCTTCCCTGTTTTTCCAGGATGTTGTAATTTGGTTTGGAGGGCTTGCCCTCTTTTGGTAATAAAATTACTTACCAAAAAAAAAAAAATAAATAAATAAAAACCCAAAGATGCAAATCATATGAAACGGAGGTGTAAACATTATAATATGATTTATACATATGCAATATTAAAATTTTATCAAAAATAAATATAATACTATAATAGTGGGTGGTTAGTGCCCTTGGAAAGAACATTAGACATATTTTAAAGAGCATGGGTGAAAAAAAGAACATTAAGCATATTTAAAGAACATTAGGCAAATTTTAAAGAACATGGACGGAAACACAGACATGTTCTTTTGTCAAACATAGGGTTCTTTTTCAAACGCATTCAACCACCTGAGTAACCATAAAAAATAACATGTTCTTTAATTTATTATCATGTTCTTTTTGTTCTTTGTAATTCCATGTTTTTGTCAAACACAAACATGTTCTTTTGTACAACACAGGTATGTTCTTTTTCAAACAATAGTATGTTCATTTTCAAACACTATTATGTTCTTTTTTCACCCATATCCTTTAAAATATGTCTAATGTTCTTTACGGGTGCACCACGCGCACGGTGCACCCGGGTGGGTGCACTATACTATTTTCAAAAATTAAGCTTAATTTTTTTATCCAAGAAGAAGTTATTCTCAATTTCAATTACTTGTATCATATGTGTCATACCAATGCCTAGTATTCATTGATGGGTTGTCACGCTACTTTGCGACAAATTGAAGTATCAAGTGTAATTATTGTTTGTGACTTGCTATTGGTATACTACCTCCGTTTTTAAAAGTTTGAGTCGCTTACTATTCATGTGGTCAAAATAAAATAACTTTGACCACATTTTATGAGCTATACAATATAAATAAATTAGCACGTGAGATCATATTAGATTCCCTTATTATAAATAATCCAAATATCAATTTTTTACCAATTTCATTTACACAAAACTGGAGTTATTAAAGTGAGAAACTAGTCTCGGAACAGGTTATAACCGGGTCCATGATATTGGAACTGGTTCTGAAATCAGTCATAACTGAGTCCATGATTTTCAAAACTGGTCTCGAAATTGGTAGGAACCAGCTCCACGACCGGGTACTCGGTTCCTTGTAATTATCCATATTTTTCAAAAAAAAAAAAAACAATTAATTAATTTCTTGCGAAATTAACAAATTCAATATACTTAGATCTACAAGGATAAAGGATTCCAAATCTACAACAACAAATATATTAACAAAAACGAATTAACAAAAAAAAGACATAGCAGATCACTTATATGGTGGTGGTTTAGGTTGCGATTTCATGAAACTGCAGAGTATGGAGGTTGCAATTTTCATGTGATGGATATTTTTTAGTGAACTGAATTACCGTGGTGTAGTGTAAATGGTGTATTTGGAGGCTGTGAGAGAATAAGAGATTTTAGGGTTTTGTAGGATTAGACTATTTATATTAAATGGATGAGAGGTAGTTGTGGTGTTCTTACATCACGTATTTCGAGACCCTATAAATAGGGAGATGTTCCCATCATGGGACACATTAAAAAAATATTCACAAAAATAGAGCAATCATTAATTGCGGATATTCTCTCGGAATTCGAGAAGATACTTTACATTCTGCACTATTTATCTTCCGAACATGTTCTAACTTGATCGTTAGAGGCGAAACCCCACCCAACCAGAGTCTCTGTTATTTTACAGGTACAGGCGTCCAGAATCCAGTCTTGGTGTTGTAACTCTCCCGATGGAAACAGAAAACCCCGAAACATTTGGCGCTGTCTGTGGGGAGAGTACTTCTAAGATGGCTTCACAAGAACCTATACCGCCTCCTAATGAGAAATGACCTACGATCGACTTTGAGGTCTATATAGATCAAGACAATGGTGACGACTTCGATGTTGAAACCCATGTGGCCCAGACGGGTCACTCAGAACCAGACGCACTCGTCCCATGGAAGCAAGGGAACGGGGCGAAGATCAAGCTGGTCCAAGCAGGTCAATTAGACACCCGTCTGAACAACCCCAGGCGGCAGAAGGCACCGCCCCCGTTAATCAAAACGAGCTCATGGAATTCATGACAAGTTTCAAAGGTGAAATCAAAGATCTGATCAACAAAAAGACGACTGGCACCAGTAGGGGTCGGTTGGCCAAGAAACCTTCTTTCTCAGGGAAGAGGAAGCCTGTCAAGGACCGTGTTCCTACTCCTCATCCTAAACCAAAGGAGTGGGACTAGCCTATGGTTGATCTGTCTAAAATTTAATTTCCTGAAATAGGGAAAAGGAAGGTCATCCGGCTTATTCAGCCGGATAGATCAAAGATGACTTATTCGGATGCCCGGATGTTAATCCAGCAAAAGAAAAGTCAACAAATGTCTGAGTCGGCCTCAACGTCGACTTATCTAGAAAACTTTCAGAATACCTTGATGAGGTATTCGCAATCAAACCGAGAGGGTCAGTCAGGCGACCTGTCCGTCCACTCTGGCCCTCAGATAATCCATTCAGCTCCGTATGTGCCTCAGTAGCCATACATCCCATAGGGCAACAACGCTTGCAGCCAGCTCACTTTGGGGCTCAGGCGGCATAGAATGTCTAACCTTTGGACTAGCAGCTACGTCTGCTTAAGCTTAGGGAATAACCTTCTACATTCTAGAAGGAGATAATCAAGGTGGCCCAGCCGGTAAGGTTAAGAATGTGTTGGTAGGTACTTATGATGGTAACACCAAACCGAGAAGACCACTTAATGCACTACTAGAAATAGGCAGATTTCCGAGGGAAATCTTCCGACGGACTATAATTCCCTCGGAAAATTCAAAATTTCCGAGGGAAATTGACTTTGTAGGAAAAATTCTTCGGAACTCTTCGCTTCCGACGGAAAATTCCGTTAGAAATGTTGCGACGTACTTTATTTCCCTCGGAATGTTTATGTTCCTACGGAATAGTATCTTCCGACGGAACTATTTCCCTCGGAAAACATAGGTTCCGACGGAATTTTCCGTCGGAACTTTTGTTTTCCAAGGGAAATATTTCCGTCGGAAAGCTTCGAATAATTAAAAAAAAAAATGCAACTTTCTGCACTGAACACAGAAGCGAAAGTAAAAAAAAAGCGAAAGAAGAGAGAGAAGGCGACAGGAAGAGGAAGAAGAAGAGAGAGAAAGAGGGAGAGGGAGATAGAGGAAGAGAGAGGAAGAGGGAGAAGGAGGAAGAGGG